CCAAATGACAGGAACTTCTGGCACAAAGATGTCACTCTGCCGCTTCTATCTACAAGTCTAGTCTTATGATTAAGTTTAAGGACCAAAGTAATGCATAAATGTCTTTATTAAGGTCTTTTAAGGCACTATGGTGAGAATCTACTCTGCATTAGACTAGATTCAAAGAAAGTTTATTGGGACTGTCCTAGTTAAAGAAGCTATACCCAATTTATTTTCTAATGAGTTCTAAAAATGTGTTTTACTATATACAAGCTGTATTAAAATCTGTAATTTAATTGAAAACTTGAGCTCATTGATTCAGCTTGTGTATGAATTTAGGCGGTAAAAAGTGCTGAGTAGAGACTCAGCGGGACGCTCGTTTTCTTCCACTCAAAGAACGAGGAGTGGATAGCCTGCGTCCTCTAGCCTCTACAGCGCTGGTGGTAAACACATCAGAATATTAGCAAAAAGTGGCTACTTCCTCTGTCTGTAACTGCATACACAGCAAACAGCCCAAACAACTCAACAGTGAGGAAGAGAAGAGGGAACCAAAGCGAAAAAATAATCAAAGAAGAAATCAAGCCCGCGTGAACGGACGTACTGTTAGCTTACCGTTAGCTTACCGTTAGCTTACATGGTATCCTCTGGAGAGACCTGCGGGTGCGGGACCGCCTCGGACTATCTATGCTCGGACATTTTCAGTTTTATATTTTGTTAGCAGCGCTTTGCTTTTGTACCATTTCATCAGTGATTGTTGTACAGTTTACAAGAAGTTGCGCTAATGCTATCGTTAGCATACGTATCAGATCGCAAATAAAACTAGATGGCTGCGTGGGATGAGAGCGTAGGGGAAACGAGAAGCCTGTGAGCGAGTTGGGGGGGCGGGGCTTGCCTTGCAGAAACGGGTATAGCTCCTTTAAAAAAACAATATACAGCCAAAAGACTGTATAATGTCCTTGAACTCATCACTGCTCCATCGTAATAAAGCGACAGAGGTGCGGGTGCAACATTTTTAAGTGATCAAACATAATACTTTGTGCTTCTAACTGTCATTAATATTTGAAGGAATGCTAATTGTTACAGTGTCCGTATTAATGTAATGCGCACATCTGCTATGCTGGCGTAACAGGGGTGACAGGAAGAACAAAAGTGCTCTCTTGTCGCCTCTGCCCACTACTCCTGCCAAATACTAATAGCTGCTCTTAATGAGAAGGCTAAGGTGGAATAATGTCACTTTATGTAAATATAATATGACATTTATGAGGGTGCTATGGTTTAGGCTGATACTTATACCAGTGGTGCCTCCTAAAACCTTAATGGGTACTTGCCTCAAATTGCCCTGGATAGCTTTGTGCATGACAGTCTTCAGATTAAGTTTTAATAATTCCAATGGGGAGCTATGGCACATAGTCTCTGCTGCAAAGGCACTCAAATAGATTCCAAAATTTGAATAAATAAATCACTATATAAGACTGCTGATGTAAACATGTGGAGAGAACGTTACTAAAGAATGAGGTGACTACAAAAGATGGGGAAACTTTTTGAAAGAAAAAAAAACCACAAACCAAGAAGGAAATAGGTGCAAACATAAAATGCAATAAATATGCAACTATGGATATGGAAAATGCGTCAATAGTCAATGTCTGAACTGTTGTATTCTGCTTCCTTGTGAGAAATATTGCTGAGAAGAATGGGACTTTGTGAATAATTGGGCTTTCTCTCCTTGAAATGAGTTTTGCCAAAAGCATTGTGCAATTGTAAGCACAAAATACCTGTTTTTAGTTTGTTTGCATCACAGGGATTTCATGCTGCTGCTACCTCTTAGGACTTTTTCTCTGGAAGTCATATTCAATCGAGCATGCCTTTTCCATTTTGCATTTGTTTTATAATGTTAACAATAGATTAGGGATGTAAAAAACTATGCATTTTCATGACCGACCACCGAGCCTCATTAACCGGTTGAAACCGGTTAACCGCGTAGTTTAAAATATTCCACGTTCTTTAAAATAGCAGCCATTTCGAGCCGCGTACTTTTCATAAGTGTATCTATGCGTTCTACTAGATCAGAGCTGAGACTCTGCGTGCATATGTGGAGCGTGCACCATGAAAGTCGCCCGTAGTCTACTAATGCATTGGCGCACACAGCTAGATACGGACCCGCTCGTCACATCGTACAAATAGGGCTTAAAATAGCCTTATTAAGAGACCTCCCCTCTCCGCTTTTTCTTATTTTTAACCGACAGCTTTGACTGGTTAACGCTGTGACGGTCAACCACCGGTTAAACGGTCACCGATTTACATCCCTACAATAGATACTTCGGTCTTATGTCAGAAAATGTCAGAACAAATCCAAGAGTGTAATATTTCTAACCCTGCTATCAATGAATGCATATTTTGTGTTTGACTGAGGTATTGTCTTACTGAAAATCGCTATATCTCATCAATTCAAGAATGAATTGGTTCAGTCTTAATTTATCTTTTCTCGCTTGTGGAAGGGGACATGATTATGTAAATGGCCTTTTGTGAACGGATATGTTGTTTCTAGGTCTCTCAGTAAAAGGCTTTAGCCACCTGTGACCTCCAACAGAAATAAGAAGAAAAATATGAATAAATAAATGAAAATTGATTTGTTGGAGTGAAACGTTTACTGAATATATTACTCATAGAGCGACATCTGCACTCATGGTCATTCTTTGAAATCATTGCACTGAAAGCAGCTGTCGTAAAACAGAGCTGGACCACATACCATACCAAAATCTTCCGCTAATTTGCTCCATCTGATTTTTTTTTTCTTTTTCTTGTAGAAATCCAATTTAGATACGATAATTGTCAGAGTAGGCCAGACTGGGCAGGGCTGCTGCTCTGTGAATCAGGTGGCAGCTCTGACTGCCCCGCTCGACCCAGAAATGGATTAAGGGGAAGAAAATGGATAGATGGAAATTTGCATGACTATAGTAATTCTTGGTTGACAAGACAGACAGATGTTACGTGTGGCATGCCCACTGTTTTAATGTGCATAGTTCACATTTTTTTCTTGATCTTATAGCATCGCATTGCCTTTATTGCTCAAAAAAATCCATGTTTGTTGACTCGTGTTAAAGGGAAAGAGAGCAGACCAATCCAGTGGGCTGACTAATTTCTTTAATTTTAAATGAAATACATAATAATGAACAATGGGTGTTATCGATTCTCACCGTAGCAGACAGAAGCATGCTGTCTTTAATTGCAACTAATTAACTGGGCAATTTATTCATTATATGTCTCGTGTTACTCAGTCATTTCAAATCATTACTGATCACCTTGGGGCTTTTTAATGAAGTGGTTTGGAGTTTAGACTAGACATCTACCAGTTACCATTTGTTTTGTAAATGATAAACATATTAACAGCACTTATTAAAAGTCTCCTCTTTTTCCTATTTTATGAAAATACTGTATATAGAAACATGCAGTCAAGTAGAAATACAGAATAGAGGGTATTCCTATTAATAGCAATTCTAACACCTGACATATGTTTGATTATCATATCTTTATGATTTGACAAATTATTTCCAAATCGGTTCAAATACCTTGCTCAGCTACAAAATACCTGACTAGTCTCAGCCCTTTTGGCTCAGAACTATAATTGCCCATTTTCAGTGTAATTGGTGCAAGCTTCACTTTGAAACTTTTTAAAAGCTGCCCTCCGACTGCGTGCTTCATTACAGTGTTATAGTCAATTTGTAGAGCTCCATGGACTTGCTTTTTCCATACACCCTGGATACACAGACACAGTAGGAGACGCCATATCCAAACAACTCACCATTGATTTTGTTTGTTTGCAACAGTGAGCATCGTATGTTGTGCGTTATCGTTTGAAGATTCTTGTTTTGTTTCTTTGTTTATCCTCCAGCCTATAAGAAATATCAGATCCAAGTGAAAACAATCTCAAACAATAAGCGTTCTTACTTGAGTGAGTTGGAGGTAGAAGATAAGGCCAAAACAAGGCAGAGATTCGACGATACTGTGGGGAGGACAAGTGACTGAAGGCTGGACATGACCAAACCATTGCATTATGAATGAGAGGAGGGACTCTGGGGAAGTTGTAATATTTAATATGACATGTGCTGCTGCTGTGAAACAGGAGATGTTGATAAAAAGTGACATTATTGTTTTTTGCGCAGTATTGATCTAGCTAACGCTGTACTAAGTGTTCCAAAACAATATGCTTTTGCAAAATGCCAATTTATTCTACATTTTGCGGTTCTTTTGAGGGCTTTTTTCTTATGAAACAACAAATACTCTGTAGCTCCGGGATGCAATTTTAGCAGACTCCGCACGGCAATTACAGTATAAACACAAAACAAATCCTAAATGTGTTTTAACGGCTGCGTTACAGACAGTGTGGACAGTGTGCTTCGCTTTAATTACATAGAAGACATCATTGTGTTTAAAAAGTTTACAGATGAACAGGATTTAACAGACAGCACCATTCTATCAGCAACCTATTATGTTATAATGCATATTCCCTTGATTTGCATCTATTATTCCCAGACTATAATAAACTATAAGGGACGTCAGAGCTCAGTCAGTCCACTCCTAATAGACGCTCTATGCAGTTGATCAGTTCCAATTAAAACTCACCAGTCTGCTATACAAATTTCAAATAGTCTGCAAATCTGAAAGATTCAAAGATAGGTGTATCTTCTCCTATCTTGTCTGTCTTATTGCCGTCTTATTCTCCATATAGAAAAAACAAGCCACCATGTATCAAACAAAACAAAAAAAAACAGTAAGAGGAGAGTGAGAGAACCAAACCAGATTTTCCATAGTAGAGTAGTAAATTTGTCAACAATAACAAGCTGTACTATTTAAATGGCACATACATTACACACAATAATTCTTGCACTATAATTTTTCCATGATGGCATTCCTTTTGCTGTCTGATCACCTGTAAATCCTGCAGCCCTCCCCTCTGCAGCAGCACACAGACAGTGGAGACAGACAGAGAGCTGCCAGCACTGATGGTGTCTCTGCCCTCACAGATGGTCACTGAACGGGAGCCTCATAAATCTGGGGCTGGAGCGGCGGCGGCGGCTGTCCGGGGGAAACCTCATCATCAGCAGCCTGGACCGCGCTCAGGACGTGGGCCAGTACCAGTGCATGGCCTTCAACACCGTGGGAGCCATCCTGAGCCGCAGAGCCAGCCTGCAGTTTGCATGTAAGTCACACTATTATGTATGTCTATTGGTAAGATGAGAGATACACATGAATTGACCGATTCCGAGTCAATTTTCCTAATGCTGAAATCAATACAAAAATTCAGTTTACAATTTTTAAAAAAACTGTATTTTTTCTTTCACAAACATCCACATTTTCGTGGTTTTGTATCGCAAAACTCCAACCCAAATTTATTTCAGTTGGTCCACAGAGCTGACCTACATTGAAATGGTACTCTCCAGGGCCATATAGGCTGTGCACAGCTCCCTATAGACAACGTTGACAAAGTCATGTCAAAATCCATCCCGCTCATACTCACAAAGTCTGAAATACTACATCGGCTTACATGGCTTTTGGCTCCACAAATCTCACTGACAAATCTTATACCAAGAGACTGTACAACACCGTTTTCTTCTAAATATGAAACACATTTTTAGGTATTATTATTATAAATTATAAATTGTAAAAACATTTCACCAGGTTTGCATACATTTTAGCTGGTATTTCTTCCATGGGGATGTTATGTGGAGTTGTTATAATATGGGGCTGTAATCCGAATTTCAACTCCCTCCACAGAGGTTCTTATAGGTTTAGGTCTGGAGACTTGCAGGGTCACTCCAGGACCCTGAAATGATTCTCCTTCTTTGCCTGTGCCGAATGATTTTTTTCCTCTCAATGTTTTACCAAAACGTTATAGTTTTGTCTCATCGAGCATGTGATATTCTCCCGGGGCTTTTCTGGATCAACCAGATGGCCATTGAAAAACAACATAAGTTGGCTTCAGCATCTTTTAGCATGATAATGATCCAAAACACACCGCCCAGGGAACTCTGACACTGTAAGAAGTATTTCAAGGCATCCATGAGTGACCTCACAGTCTCTAGACCTCAACATAGTAGAAAATCTCTGGAGGGCAGCCCAGCGGTAGCCCAAAAACATTGCAGCCATAGAGAAGATCTGCTTGGAAGAATTGGCCAAAATACCAGCTACAGTGCAGACCTGTGATTAAGCAATCCATCAACTTTTTTTTATATGGCACAGTTTGTACAGAATGCACCCCAAAGTGCTTCACATTGGCAACATTTATAACCAATTCTAAACACACTCTAAAAACACATTCAAAATACAATTTAAAAATAAATAAATCTATGTATATATCTGAAAATATCTATGATCTGATGCCTGATAATGATCAGTTGGAGGCACGGCTAAAAAGAACCAATTTCAGCCTGGACCTGAATATACAGAAGCTAGGGTAGCAGCCTGTTTCACACATTTGGGAAGACTGTTCTAGATTCTAGGTGCATAGGTCTGGAATGCTGCCTCCCCATGTCTTGTCCTAACTGGGCCGTCCCTGTACTCTTTAGAGTTCGAGATGGCTCATATGGAACCAGCATGTCGCATATGTACTTCGGTGTGAGGCCATGGAGAGACTTGTAACGAGGAGAGCTGATTTAAAATCTATTTTCTGAGCCACAGGAAGTCAGTAAAGAGACCTGAGGACTGATCTTATGTGGTTGTACTTCCTGGTTCCTGTCAGGACTCGAGCTGCAGCATTTTGAATGTACTGCAGCTGTTTTACAGGTCTTTTGGAGGGACCTGTCAGAGATCCATTACTGTAGTCAAACCTACTGGAAACAAAAGCATGGATCCATCCATGCTTCACTGCAGTTTTCCAAAACTAAAGTGATAAATTCACAATTTTAGCGAGATCTGAAATTCAAACTGTTAAGAACAAGTTTTAAAAATGTAATGGGCAACACGTCAAGGCAACAAGTGCATCATATCAATTTTAAAACATTTTCTTTGTCCAAATGTTCAGAAAAAAAACAACTCTGCAGTTGTTGGGAAAGGTGATGGGAAACGTTTCAGCTCAGTTCTTGCCAACAAAGTATTGAGTTGAACTTAGTTGTAATATGTGTAGTCGTCCAAATATTTATTTACTGCACCATAATGTGAACAAATTATTTGTGGGATAATTTACACAATCGGCTACTGCCAAATAGAATACTCCTCTCCCTGTTTGTATTGTATTGACACAATGACCAAAAAGCAGTTCATGTCTTTTTTTCATTAAGACCAGATCATTGTTCGTTTCCTTTTCTGCTTTTGGTTGATAAGGATGTTTCCATAACTGATAGTGCGATAACTTAATTTATGTTGTGCATCCCCTCTGGCCACATGAGCTCATTGTAAAAGCACTGCAGAACAATGTCGACAAACAACCACAGCGCTGGTTGGCTCGTGCAATATTTATCACAGCGACACAGTGTCTGTTAAGCTGCATTAAATGTTTAAATAACACGGGAGCTCTAGTTATTCTTTGACAGCACACATGTCCTAGAAACACCTAATAAAAGTTTTTTTTTTTTAACTTTGTGTATTTAGGGCTGGATAAGATCATTTGCATAGCACAAAAACAACACCATATTTGTCCGAGATACAACAATAAAACATCTTTGAGTCATAGCATAATGGGTTAATGCTATAAATGTACTGGATCATTCTCTGTCCTTTTAACCGGCTCCATGAAACATAGATGTCAATGAACACGCCTCTCCAGACTACATCGTCTCGGAAACACGATATTTTGCTGTAAAAAAATGAAATGATGTTGTTACTTACACCTAAAGCCCAATGTAACGCCCACACACACAGACACACATTCACACAGACACACACACATAGACACACACACACACGCACATGCACCAACGCACACAGACACACACACACACACGCGCACACGCACACGCACACACACAATAAGTTATAGTATATTGAACAGCACTGAATATTTGATTTTTGCTTCATCCACTTCTTGCTTTTCAGAGGCGCATTGAGCTGAAATGATATAAATAATCACGTTGATTTATTTTGATAGCCTATATGGAGGAGGCTGTATCTGTAACACAAACAAGCTCTGCGCAGCCTGCATGGTGCAACACACACTGTCAGCTATTAATATTGTATGAGCTTTGTTGAAGGATTCCCATATTTAAAGGTGGCTGTTAACAATAGCGTGGTTGCCAAGTAGTGCTTTTTATATAATAATGTCCCTCACCGACATTAAGTTATAGACAATTGATTCAAGTAGGCAGTCTGCTCTTGACTGGAATGGCTTCAAGGGTTTCGATGGATTCAGAGAATTGAACACTCTCCCATACATTCTTAACATATTGTACAGCACATTCATTTCTGTCCACTGCAATATTTATCAATTTTTTTGCACTACCTGCACCTGTATATAAAGTACCTCCATATCAAAGGGCTATTTCAAATGGCCCAGTGTACAACGTCAAAGTATTGTACATATCGAAACCGTTTTGCGGCTTGACTATATTTTCATCCATACATTTTGCTCCCAGACAGCCGGTATATCCAGCCATTTCAAGACATCAGATTGTATCACAAGTGCGCGCAGCTACATCTTGACATTTATGCATTATTTATACAGCACAGAGATGGTATTTACTGTTTATACAATACTAAGAGATAGATATGCTAACTTATCTCTCAGCGCTGCAAACCTGCGCAATGACATTTATGTTGGTTTTATGAATTGAATGCTGAAAAGCGTTTCTTGTGTGTGTGTGTGTCTCGTGGGGTTTGCCAGTGCTGCGCTATTAGCTTATGGGCCTTTGTCAGTGTCTGTGCTGAAAGCTTTACACTGTAGCTCAGATGTACCCCCACTCAGAGACCCAGGGAGCCCCCGTAGTCATCTGACCCCTCTGTCTCTCTGTCTGCCTTCCATCTCTCCATCCCTTTTTCCCATCACTTATTCTCTTTCTCTCTGCTGCAGATTTAGATCATTTTAAAGTGCACACCAGGAGCGGTGTGTCCGTTCGGGAGGGACAAGGAGTGGTGCTGCTGTGTGGAACCCCCACTTCCTCAGGAGGTAAAAGCCAGACGGTTAATTGAGCGGAAAGGAGATCAATGTGGAAGTGCAGCTTTTCACTATAGTTTTAGGAGTCCATTTTGCCGGCTGCAGTTTGTAAGTGGTATGAAACAAAGTATGCCCCACCATGTAACCCTCCATATTTTAGACCTCAATAAAAGCATCATCTCTAGTGTGTTAGTATGGCTGCATGTTTGATTACGTCTAATTACAATTAATCGCGATTGAATCAAATTTGCAATTTTAGTTACTTTAATTACTATCGCAATAATTCATCTGGCATTATTTCCTTTATAAACATCAACAAAATCAAATCTTTTTGAATATAAAATATCCGACTTTCCCTATTTTGAAAGCTCTAGTAAGTAAGTAATCTTTATTTATACACCGCCTTTCACAGACCAGAGTCACAAAGCGGTTTACAATTGTTATTTTTGGGCACTTGTCACTCCACACCGAGATCTATCTTCAAGATGGCGCCTCGTACGGTCGACATGGCTCTTTGCTGCTCTCTTTTTCTTTTGTTTTTACTTTTTAACTGTGCATCTGGCTGTTCCTACACCCGTGAGGAACTTATGAACATCCGACCCACCGTTCCCATGGACCTATTGCCTGTTTTCTTGGCATCTGCGGCTGATTTAGTTCATGTTCTAGCCAAAAAAGTGTGGGCCCGTAAAAGGGGAAAGCGCGGAGGCCTGCTGGTGCGTCTTAGGAGGAGAGGAGCGCGCACGGCTCTCCCCGGCATTTTTCTCTCCAACGTACGCTCACTGGGCAATAAGATGGACGAACTCAGCCTGCTCATGAGAAGAAACAAGGACTTCGCCACATCCTGTGTCCTCTGCTTCACTGAGACCTGGCTAAATGAGCGGATCCCGGACTGCGCTCTGGAGCTGCAGGGCTTTGGGCTGTTCCGCGCGGATCGCCATTGTGCGCTCTCAAGGAAGAGCAGAGGCGGAGGGCTCTGTTTCTACGTCAATACAAACTGGTGTAACGATGTGACAGTGATCTCCAAGCACTGCTCTCCTGCTCTGGAATATCTTTTCATTCATTGTAAACCATATTACTCCCCTCGTGAAATTGTTTCATTCATTCTTGCCTCTGTTTACATACCGCCATGCGCGGACGCGCGCGAGGCTCAGCGCGCACTCGCAGAGCAAGCACTGTGTATGGAACGTTTATACCCGGACTCTCTGATTATTATCCTGGGGGATTTTAACAAGGGAAACTTGAGCCAGGAATTACCCAAATACAGACAGGTTATCAAATGCCCGACCAGAGAGGAGAACACTCTGGATCACTGTTACACCACCATACGCGGAGCTTTTCGCGCTGTTCCCAAGCCAGCCCTCGGCTTCTCAGATCACTCCATGATACATCTGGTTCCTGCTTACAGACAGAGACTAAAGCTCTCGAAACCTGCAGTGAGGAGCTCCAAAGTGTGGTCTGATGAAGCTGTGGAAGAGCTGCGCGCATGCATGGAATCTACAGACTGGGACCTTTTCAGAGCTGCCACAGACAGTTTGGATGAATATACGGACACTGTGACGTCATACATCCACTTCTGCGAGGATAGCATCATTCCAACAAGGACCAGGGTCATCTATAACAACGACAAACCCTGGTTCACTGCTAAACTCCGGCAGCTCAGGAAAGCAAAGGAGTCTGCTTTCAGGGAGGGGGACCGCAGCGGCTACAAAGCAGCTAAATATCAGTTCAGGAGAGAACTGAAAGCAGCCAAGTCCCGGCACAGAGAACGACTACAGGAGCAGTTTGGTAACAACGATACTGCTTCTGTCTGGAGGGGCCTACGGGAGATCACCAACTACAAACCCAAAGCCCCCCCCTGTGCTGACGACCACAAGCTAGCTGACGAACTGAACTTATTTTTCAGTCGCTTTGATGCTGCCCCTGACACCTCTCCCTCCCCCACCCCCCACTACTCTAACGACCCACCCATCAGCCCTGCCCCCAGCCTGACAATAGCCTCTAAAGACATTAAACAACTCTTCCTGAGGCTGCACCCCCGCAAAGCTCCTGGCCCGGACCACGTGTCTCCGGCCACTCTGAGACACAGCGCCAGTGAGCTTACTCCTGTGTTCACGGACATTTTCAACACCTCTCTGCAGTCCTGCCATGTCCCGGCCTGCTTCAAATCCTCCATCATTGTCCCCGTCCCGAAGAAGCCCAGGATCACAGGACTCAATGACTACAGACCTGTAGCACTTACGTCTGTCGTCATGAAGTCATTTGAACGCCTGGTTCTCTCCCATCTCAAGTCCCTCACCTCCCCCCTCCTGGACCCCCTGCAGTTCGCCTACAGAGCCAACAGATCTGTAGACGACGCCATTAACCTGGCCCTCCACCACATCCTACAGCACCTGGACTCCCCGGGGACCTACGCCAGGGTCCTGTTCGTGGACTTCAGCTCTGCCTTCAACACAATCCTGCCATCCCTGCTCCAGGACAAGCTCTCCCAGCTCAACGTGCCCGATTCCACCCGCAGGTGGATCACTGACTTCCTGACGGACAGGAAGCAGCGAGTGCGTCTGGGGAAAAATGTCTCGGACTCTCGGTTTATAAATACAGGAGCCCCACAGGGCTGTGTTCTTTCTCCCCTGCTCTTCTCCCTGTACACCAACCACTGCACCTCCAGCCACGACTCTGTGAAGCTGATCAAGTTCCCGGACGACACCACCCTCATTGGACTCATCTCCAACAACGATGAGTCCGCCTACAGGAGGGAGGTGGACCGGCTGGTGTCCTGGTGCAGTGGTAACAACCTGGAGCTGAACGCCCAGAAGACAGTGGAGATGATTGTGGACTTCAGGAAGAGCACTGTCCCCCCGCCCCCACCCTCCGTGATGGACTCCCCCATCACCTCTGTGGAGTCCTTCCGTTTCCTGGCCACCACCATCACCCAGGACCTCAAGTGGGAGCCGACCATCAGCTCCCTCATCAAGAAGGCCCAGCAGAGGATGTACTTCCTGCGGCAGCTCAGGAAAGCCAAGCTGCCTGCACAGATGTTGGTGCAGTTCTACACGGCCATCATCGAGTCCATCCTCACCTCCTCCGTCACCGTGTGGTTCGCTGGAGCCACAGTCAGGGACAAACAGAGACTACAGTGCATTGTGCGCTCTGCAGAGGAAGTGATCGGCCGCAGCCTTCCATCGCTGCAGGACCTGTACGTCGCCCGAGCTCGAGGCCGGGCTGGTCGTATCACAGCCGACCCCTCTCACCCTGCACATGGACTATTCCATCCACTCCCCTCAGGCAGGAGGCTGCGGTCCATCAGGACTAGAACCTCCCGCCACAAGAACAGTTTCTTCCCCTCTGCTGTTGGACTCTTGAACACTTCTTAACCTGTCCCCCCACCCTTTATAAAGTCACTTTACTGCCCATCATACGTCACTTTACTTCACTGTACTGCTGTTCACCTTACATTGTGTGCACCATGTGCACTTGTATATTGTAAATAGTAACTGTAACTCTATTTTAAATTTAAATTTATTCTTTAGAAGTGTTTTTTTATTCTTATTTTTATTATCTCTTTTTGACTGTTGCACTGAGCCAAAGCAATTTCCCAGTCTGTGACCTCCTGTTACTTACGTGGCAATAAAAATGATTCTGATTCTGATTCTGAGATGGGAGCGGGGTCGCCGAACAGGAGGCGAATGCCAGACCTATTGTACATATTTTTAGTGTTAGGCGAAACCGGAGTACCAGGAGGAAACCTACGCAGACACAGGGAGAACATGCAAATTCCACTCAGAAAGGCCCTGGTCCGACCAGGATTCAAACCCAGGACCTTCTCGCTGAGAGGCGAGAGTGCTATCCACTCAGCCACCATGCCGCGTAGTATTTCTTTGAATTCTAGTGCAAATGAACTAATTGGACACTGAATTGGATGATGTCTAAACAGCTTAAAGCTGGCGTACCAATCACAATGATATAATATAATCAGGTTTTTCAGACCAAAAACTGAAAACTAGGGAACTGTCCTCACTCATCTTTCGGCCCAAAGCGTCAAATAGTCAATAATCACACAGATTTAGACAAAAAATATGGAGGAAGCATGCTGTGGTCTGACTTGTTCACACCATTTACATTTTACAAGAGTTTACATACATGTTGTTTATCTTTTTAGATGAACAACATGTATTATTTATGAATCAAAAACGTCTGCAAACAGAATTAACCTACAGGAATCTTACCTTACCTTCTGAAAGTGAACATACTCATTAGATGTGCAGGAATATAACATCTGAAATCTCTTTTTCCCGCAGACCTCACATACGCATGGGTCTTCAACGAGTACCCATACTTTGTTCAGCAAGACAATCGGCGGTTTGTGTCACAGCAGACTGGAAACCTTTACATCGCCAAGGTGGAGTCGTCCGACGTGGGCAACTACACCTGTGTGGTCATGAACAGTGTGACCAAAGGAAAAGTGCAAAGCTCTCCCACGTCTTTGATCCTCAAGACAGACGGTAAGGAAGTTATTTAATTGTGAATTGTTAAAACATCACTCTCATTTGTGAACAAGAAGATCCTAAAACATGTTGAATTAGGGAAAATTGAAAACAGCAACTGTATGCACAGACACTGCGATACGCAGGGCTCCAGACAAAATAACATTAAAACACATGTTTATTTGACAATGTATGGCTCAATCACTAATGACAGTGCAAAATAACTGATCCTCCAAAGGCAGAGAGTGGCTGACTGGCTGTAGCATAATATCCTGACGCTAAATACAGAGAAAACAAATTTCACAATTTCACCAAACGCCTAAATCACCCAACTATTCAAAAGAACAGAAATAACATAAAAAGTGTTAATCTATTCACGACTTTGGCATTAGTCTCAACTTCACGTTAAAATTCAAAAATAATATAACATATTTTTTTTCTAAATGTTAAAGACCACCCTAAAATGTAATTTGGCAAACTTCAGACTTATTAGACGGTCCCTCACTACTGAGACCTCCCACATGTATCTGAGTGCAATGATTTATGTATTGCCAAACTGGTCTCAGATCCAATTCTACTCTGGGGCTTCTTTAATCAATATATAAATATGCATTCAAAATCCACAATAAAATCCCTAAATGAAATCACCAATGCCCAATCCTAAAAAAATACAACATTCTCAACCTTGTTTTTATTTGTTTTAATTGAAAACCGTCTCATAGCCCCACCCCTCAGGAAATATGTGACCTTCTGCTCAGTGTGAGAGCTAATTATGAATGTCTGCGTAGAGAGAAAGTGAAGAATGGGGGATGGGTAGTTTTATTATAGCTTGTATGATAAATTAAAATGTAAGTTCTGTCTGATAATGTATGGGCATGTTTTACTTACTGTTTCACTTCAACCTGCTCAGGGACGAGGTGCAAAGTAGCACTCCTGCTTCAACCTGGTACAATGCATCTCTCATTTTGGTGAATGTTTATCATACACTGTCCCTGTAAAAATGAAAATCATACCGTTCCATACAATTAAAATAAAAAAAGGTTTTTGGATTTTCATTCCTAATTTCCAACATATGGCTAAAACAATGAAATCTCTGGAACGGGTCTGGAAACTTTCAAGCACCACTGTATAACAAGCTGCCTATTTTTCACCATTACTGAGATTTTGACTGTGAAAATCTGTCCAAGTGGTAAAGGTACCAGGCACTAGCTGGCACAGTGAGAGGGTAATAAGGATGAGGCAGTGCACCTATAAGTGCATTAATTGGATCAAAATGGGCCCCTCAGCCCGTCCTCTCTCCTTCTCTTGCCTTGCATTCTTCTAATGCTTGTAAGTAAACAGTTATGCTTAAATGTAGGCCAGCTCACAAAGACTCCAAATCTCCTCTTTGCTGACTCTGCGTTCTTTGAAATTCCTTTAAAAGCTTTCTCCGTGCCTCCGTGCGCTGTTGTTCTATTCACTGTTAGCCTCTCATAGAAGTAGTGAATAAAGATTGCCTTGAAAATGAATAAACCATAAGCCATACGCCATTGGGCCATTACATTGAGTGTTCTTGTGGCTTAACCAGTTGCGTTTCGGCGTCCATGTTGCAGCATACATTCAAATCTTGTGTCGCATCACTTGCACATCCCGGACTCCACATTCGGAATACTAATACAAGTGCACTGTTTGAACTGCCCACTCAACTATTGAAAAATGAAATCAACAGCTGAAAGGTTCCCACTAAACTCCACCAAGACAAGATTCAGAATTATTTCTCGCTGATACGCGGGCGCCGACTGTGCATTTGAAGAAGCGCACTCTGCTTGGTTTCTCACCCACGAGAGAATTGTGAGCTCATGTGCTTTTTATTCTCACCCCTGTTAGTTTTACCGTGCTATTGTTATGGTCCATGATGCAGGCCGTATGGCATATAACTCATGAATAATGCAAAGCTGAGTGAGTTTTTCTGCTTTTTTCTTGTTTTGCACAGGAGTGATGGGCGAATATGAGCCAAAAATAGAAGTTAATTTCCCAGACAATGTATCTGCCGCTAAAGGATCAACTGTTACGCTTGAGTGTTTTGGCCTTGGAAAGTAAGTAGGAATTCTTCATGTTTTTATAGGCAAGCTGCCAATATCTCCATTTTGAGACAACTGCTATCGTCACAATTATTTTTCTTACTCTGACTGCGGTGCAAACATGTCTGAACTGCTTTTAACAATGGATTGGCAACGTACTTTCAACAAATATCATTGTTGTAATGCGGCTCTTTGGAGGGTTTGAAAAACAGCAGAAACAAATATTCCATTGAAGTGGTTTGCTTCAATTTGAAAGCTTTATATTATTTTGTTCTATTTTCACTTTCTTGAATTGCTTTTATTGATTCTATTTGACAACATAATAAGCCGCATGTAAGAGCGGAAGAAAGATTAATTCAAAAGAAAATCATTGCTTGGGAACATATACAGTTTTCAGGCAGAGATTCATTTCTGTTTAAGAAAAGTAAAAGTTGGTGACATTCTGCACTTTATTGTCTTTGTTGAAAATGGATGTTCTATTTCAGACCTTTCCAATAAAATATATTAAACATAATATCAAATTAATTCTATATGTAATGATTAAGCAACTTGGAGCAGTGTGGTTTATATAGTGTTCTAAACTCCATAGCAACCATTGTCATGACCAAAATTGAGACACACATATAATGAAGAAAATGTTGTTATTTTTACATTTAACGTGATATTTACATAACAATAAATATTGTGTATGTTTAGCAGCCTAATTCAATTTCTTGCGGTTACTTTATTATGAAACTTTAAGTTAAAGGAACAATATGTAAAAATCTGGCCAAAAGTGGTACTGCAGTCACAGTCAATATTTTGTAGTCCTCTCCCACTCTCCCTGACTCAGGTTGCCAGATTCACACCAAATCCAGCAGCAAACACAGGGAATTATTTTATCAGTTGTTTGTCCGTCTCCATTCACATTGCCATGACAGCTGTGCTAATGCTGAATGAATGTTTTGATTCATGTTTTTTTTATTATTATTATTTGGACATTTGAGATAAAAAACAAAAACAAAATAAAAGCAATGTAATTATACATAGTTTATGCAAAATACATAAGCAATTGATGTCCAAAATAGGAGTGGGAAGAATGGATGTTGGAACGTATTTCTTCAGCGTATCAACATCAGGGTTTGCTCAAGAGGATATCACCTTTCAATTTTATTTATTCCCTATTTTTTAGACAAACATGTAAAAGTTCCACATCAAAAAGAGACTAACATTATTTTAATTGGGGTACATGTGGTCTTAAATTATTATTTTTACAATTAAGCTATAATCTGCAAAAAAACGTCTTGACCTTCATCTTTTACCGTTTTTAGAGCAATCTGTCATAGAATGTGATAACATGCAATAAATACAAAATGACATAGCCCGGAATCGAACCCGGGTTCCTGCATCGTAAGTGCACAGTTGTGACCACTACACCACCGACTCACACAGTTAGAGTCACTGTGAAGAACGGACTCAAACTAGCAAATTCTGCATCACACGTAAACCTTTATCAGCTGTCTCAATTGTTCAAAGGCGTCCCGATATAAATCCTCGTTTTAGTCTTTGTTTTGTCATTAATGATTTGAGAGTCATAACAAGACCTTTTTTAGTTCTGCGCCACATGTTATTTTACCACTGAGATTAGTGAGCCGCACGGAGTTCTGGCAACCCGATCACGGACTTACATGACACTTCCTGATTGGCGAAACGGCGGAGGGTAGGACATCAAAATCAAAACAATAACAACTTTTACGGGTCGTAAAACTAATTTTGATATTCAAATATCTCGGATGAACTACTGTTATCAGTTAAAGATGTGTTTGAAAAGAACATGATTTATTAATGCCTTTTGAAATATTCGGGTCATTTAATGATGACTTGACATGCAAATATTACATATTGCTCCTTTAACTAAGTTAATATTAAACAATTGTATATTTATTAACTTTTTAGTGCATTTTGATCTCTGTTTTTTGAAATGTTACTTGTGAAGCACTTTGACCTTGTATACGAATTGTGCTATACAAATAAATAATTGATTGATTGATGCTCAATGCCGTGTGTTGCCATGGTGACACCTTAGATGGGGGGATATGAAAGCTGTAATTTAACGCCAGTTTAACGGTATTAATCAACATTAACATAGTTAGCAATGGATTCCTCACTGGCGCCATGCTTACCTCTTTTTCACCCTGTGTCTGTCATAAATCTGTTTCTCTACAAGAAAACTCACAATAGGTTTTTGTGTTTCTTCACAAATGTTGATACCACAACCATGCAATCTATAATTGTTTTTCTTTCACCTTTTCTGATAAGTCACAGTAACCTATGCAACCAGCTTGATAAAATACTAAAAAGTTAATGACATAAACAGTTATTTAATACTCAATAGATTTACTCAAAATTGCATTTTAAATGATAAATAATGTTGGCATCTACTACTACCTTCCTGAAAACATCAATCAGACTTAAATAAGAGCCATCATACAATATAATATTATCTTTGTTGACCCTTAATGAGATTTTTAACTTTGATATTTAATGTTTTATAATCTGAAATAATTTAGGTAGAAAATATTGTCAAAAGAACCACTAAATAGACAGGACCCATGGACTAAAGATGTTTGGTCTAACAAGAGCATTCATCAATAATTTCTGGAGTATCAGAATTCTCTCAGCAAGAAGCTCCTGGGTTCGAATCCCGGTTGGACCAGGGCCTTTCTGAGTGGAGTTTGCATGTTCTCCTCGTGTCTGCGTAGGTTTCCTCCGGGTACTCCGGTTTCCCCTACCACTAAAAACATATCCAAGTTGGCATGCGCCTCCTGTACTGGCGACCCCGCTACCATCTCTGTGTGGAGTAAGAGGACAAATGCCCAAAAATAACAATTGTAAACCGCTTTTGACTCTGGTCTGTGAAAGGCGGTATATAATTAAAGATTACTTACTTACATTTTGCATAACATGTCTCCTTTAAAACACACCTATATCTTTTCTATATATATATATATATATATATATATATATATATATATATATATATATATATATATATTTATTTTTCAGTCCTGTACCAGAAATCACATGGAAGAGAGCGAATGGCGTCCCGTTCCCAAGCAAAGTGAAAATGAAATACTCCAATGCAGTGCTGGAGATTCCGAGCTTTCAGCAAGACGACACTGGAGGCTACGAGTGCGTGGCAGAGAACAAGATGGGCAAGAACATCGCCACCGGCAAACTGGCCTTTTACGGTAGCTCTTTCTCTCTGATCACAGACTTTCATTTAAGGCTGGCTTTTTCTCAGAATTATGTAAATGTTGCTGCTGCTGCTGCATAATGTTGTGCTTTGTGATAACACCCATTAATGCCAGGCTCTCCATATTTACAAAGAGGTTCTAATAGAACTTTGTGCCTTTTTGGTCAAATCCTTCTTTCTCAAGAATTTAATTAGGAGCTTGTGATATTTTCACAATTCAAAATGCCTTTGCTGTTCACACATTTGGGCATATCATATTTTCTAGATGAACTGTGTAATTAAGTAAACAGCAACTTGATATGTGTGAGGTGGGTTGCTTTCGTTGTAATACGTCTGACATTATATTTCTATTTTTAAACTTAGTTCTTACCAACTCTTGCAAGGAATAATTGTTTTTTGTTGTTGTTGCAAAATTAGTTCAGTCCTGCTACTACTTTTACTTCCCAATAGGTTCTGGTACAAGGATCCAATGTCGATGTACAAAATGATGGAACAGGAAGCACATCTGTCTAACCATAACGCCACAACTATCTATTAGCTGATACTGTATTAAGTCAAAACCAAACCAAACAAAAGCCATAGGTTTTTACTTTTTATACATAGTTGTTCCGTAGATACTGCACGATAAATAATGGTCCATATCAGTATTGGCAGATGGAAAAGATGGAAAATTGGTGCATTCTTATAACAGAAAATGCTTCCTTTTTTGAAGACAGTCTTGACAAGGAGGTAATTTGGTCTTCTTCTTTTTTTTGTACTGAACACTAATTCATTTGAAAGTCTGTGAGACAAAAGACTTGTTTTGCAATGTTAAAAGTTGACTTTTCTCTTGTTCTTTTCTCTTCACATGGATGCATGGTGTGTCATATTCACAGATACAGTAACTAAAGCTTTAAAATGAGGATGTACTGAAAAACATACATGGAGCTTAGATCTTAAAATAACTTAAGTGCATCACAAGGTGAACACTTTAAAGAAGGTATCAGGAAAGAAAAACATCTAACAAAATAAGTCAAAAGTTGAATTCTTAACATGTTTTAAATTTGAAAGAATATGCTCAAAAAGGGGTGAAACTTCATTTAGATGGCACTAAAGTACACCTGGATTTTTTTCCTTTCTTTTTAAGTACTTGGTAAAGCCATTCGAATAATGTCCTAATGGCACTTATCTGTTTTTGTCAATGAACTATTCATGTTTTGATAACCTTGAGTAGCTTCATCCAGAACATATTTTTTTAATTTTCTGAATCAAAATGTTGGATATCAGGGCCAAGACTGACTGATTGGAGTTTACATGTCCCTCCATATGTTTTCTCTGCCACTACAAACCACAGACTGTAAATATTAACGGACGTAGTCACGCCTATCTCCGCCGATCAAAAAAATGGGCCAAAAATCTTGCTCTACTGGAGCTATCCAAAATGGCCGCGAGTGGTTCCACCCTCAAGAAAATTGTGAAAAAATGCATCTGCGCATCCGTCAGCCGGCGAGCCCCATTCATTTGAACGAGAGACATGAAATTTAAAAAATTCACAGCGAGTAAACTAGAGTGGTCCAAAAAATTCACTCCCCTCAGCATTGACACACATTGCTGTCCAAGAGCCAGCTTTTGGACCATCCTGTAAAGACGTTTTCGAGAGGTAAGAAGATGCTATATGTTAGCATTGGCTAATTCTTATTCCGGATCCACCCCCATTGGCCCAGGGTGGTATTGCAAGCATGTCAGCGCACGTCATTTTGGCCATTTTTGAGCTGGGACCCGACCCCACTGCTACAAACATGTACAATCGGTAAAATCTCCTGACCTCCACCACCACCTCCTCATCAACATCTGGAGATTGGTCCCCAGGTGCTGTACTATGGCGACCATTGTTCCTGAGGCATTACAGGATGGGTCAAATGCAGAGGACACATTTTCCATCTCAACTGATAAATAATTCCCATCTTAGAACTTTTATTCAAGCTAATGGGCTTGAACAAAAGGTGGCTGAGTTGATTGCACCCTCGCTTCTCAGCAAGAAGGTCCGGGGTTTGAATCCCGATCGGAACAGAGCCTGTCTGAATGGAGTTTACACGTTCTCCCCGTGCCTGCGTAGGTTCCCCCCTGCAATAGGTATGGATGTAATGAATGAGTGAGTGAATGAAATGGTGTTGGTTGGGGGTTTTGATGCGCCAGTGTGTTCGCAGTGTGTGAATGGAAAAATATCTGATGTCTGAATATTGTAAAGCGCTTTGTGTGACCTTGCTCTGTAAAAAGCACTATATAAATAAACATTACTTACTTACTAATGGCTTGGTGACTCTCAAAACAAATAATTCCCCTTCATATTTCATTACTGCATTAGGAGCAGAAATGAATTGCATGGACTTTCGGTATGGTAGGCTGTTTATTGTTTATGGCAGTTTGCAGCCGTTAACAAGAATTGCATTCTGCTGTTTTGCGGCTATAAGCAAGGCCTAAAAATATAAGTGAATTTTATGAATACTGGCTTGAAACAGCTTTACTAACATCCCACTGCATGTGCATCACTCACTGAATACTGAAATGCGCTGCCTTCCTCAATATTCTAATTTGTTGGTTGGCAGCGTAACAGTTTCTATTGGATTACATAGTTTTATCAGTCTAAACCAAATCAGAAAGCCTCCAGTGACTTCCCCACCAGCTCCGATCTGTAGTATTATTCACATTTTCCCTTCCCACACACTGGGAGTCTTACAGCCGAGCCCGGAACACTGTGCTCTGCTGCTGTACTGCCTTAAAAAACAGCTTTTAAGCCAAGTGCCAACTCACTCTCACTGTCTCAAGCCAGATTACGACATTGATTAGGGCTAAGACTCTCTATGTGATGATTTATTTTTGCATAAACACTAAATCCAAGCCATAGAAACATCTTAGTCAACATCTCTTCCCGCTCCTTGCTTCTCACTCTCAAATTAATTAAGCTAATCAAGTTGTGGCTATGCACTGCTAATCAATTTCTGACACGAGATAGGACTCCTATCAATCTTTCTGTGTGACGCTGGAGAGAGTGCTGTTGAATAATGTTTTGAGATGTGTAATATAATGCAATAATGGCTTTAACATTATCAGCTTCCTCTAAAGAACATCTCTTCGGAGTAGTCTTGGCCTTCTGGCGGCTGTAAGGAGCCATAAGAGCAATTTCTGTGCTTTCATTCTTTCGTTTTAAAATGGTCCCTGATAAAGTACGCTCTGTTTTCTATTGCTTCAAGGATTCAAAATGCCAACAACAAATATTATATTTGTGAAGGTCTAATCTTTCCCTTAAAAGAGCTTTGGATTGTGTCTGCAGGCATTGGTTGTAGCGAGTGTGTCTCCCAACCAGTGTGTGGGTACTTCCCAGGCGGGGTGTGGTACGAATGTCAGATTTGAAATGAAATTGAATCGTCTTTTAAAGGAAAATATGGGTGACGCCAGCACTTGGTTAGTTCACTCATTCGACTTGGTTTTGAGATTCAACATTTTGTGAAAGAGTGTTTCCAACCATATTGAATGCCTTTGAGGTTGATGATTTTTTTTACGGTCAAAGATACGTTAAGACTTGAATGGTTCCTGAGACGGATGTGACCCTTTCTGAAGTCAAACACTGTGCACATTTTGAGGAGTTTACACGACAATGTACGCTACACCTGCACTCCTCCAAACCAACTCTGCTTTTTACATTAACAGGCGCACAAAAATAAGACCTTCACCCTGTAATGGCAAGGTCTATAAAAAAATCAAGACGCATTTCTTATAATTTGAACAGACATGTGCAGCTGAATACTGTAGTTCCTAGTTCTTTTCAAAGACACTAGTTGTGAGTGCATGTGTGACAGGTAGAAGCACAAAGGCCATCGTTAAGTTGATAACTTTTTGACTGGAGGTGAGCGGTTATCCTCTGAGTGCTTTGAAGGTTACAATTGAAAACCTTTTTACTTTTATAGCGCTTTCTACTCAGTTGTCATGTGCTGCAAAACACATTTCAATGATGGAGTTTACACATGGCAGTACTTGGAGGAGACCTGCAAAGGCCTGTGTATTTTAAACGGTCCCCTGTAGTATTCAGTTGTCTAAGAAAATGCTCATTTAGATTAGTGTTGCCCATAAAGTGAGTCGGGGCCCCAGGGTAACACACTGTACACTTTATGTGGGTCAATGTTTCATGAATTGATGATTGTGTCTGCACTAACTGAGAATAGTTCCAATACTACACTTAAGGGGACATACATATAATTGATAAGCTGTATACACCACTTAATTACCCCGACCTTACACATTTAAACAATTTAGTTTCTTTTTTGAGTCATTACTCAATTGCTGATGTTCTTTGGATATTAAAATTGTTACTGTGAATTTTCCATAGACCAAAGTTTGGATTAACCAAGCCTTTATATCACCCATAAAGCCTGCCGAATCTCGGAAAAAGTTGATTTGAACACCCAGCTAGTTGGAGGACAGGGTTACCTACATGCAGCTGGGACAGATGCCATGAAACGTGTTGCTTACATGGTTGCTGAAGAAAGTGAGAGTTCCCCCTACAAAGGAAACCAATATTTCTGGCCTATATATGTATTTACACTGAGATAATTAAACTAAAAACACCAGGATCATAGACATTGCTAAACCCCAGGTTTTTGTATTCCTGAAATGGCGATAGTGACACAAACTAAGTAACTGGAGTTTACTTTTCAATGTAGGAAAGATTCGCTCCACTCTGTAGGCTATTGCTAGTTCAGTAAAAGAGGGATTGAGGTGTTTTGATGAAGTTGATCACCTGGAAAAGTATCATGAGTAAATTGAAAAAATAAAAACTAATTTTTAAGCATTCTCTGAGATTGATAATATATAGTTGATTAAGTGAGAATTTCAGAGGAATTTCAGATCCTGACAATTCTATAAATGGATGTAATAACTTAATATACTTTTTTTCTTTCTTTTCTTTCATTTCTTCATTCTTTTCCACAAATCAGCCCTCTCTTTAGTGAGCCTTGATTGAAAATCATAAACCTTCTTTGTCGCAGACACGACAGAGCAAATGCATTGGATTCGAGATGAGGATTGACTTGGTTGAAGTGTTCACTACGGGGCAAGTGCTGATTGGCTATATTCTATTAGTCCGGTTTTGAAGAAAAGTCATTGTATTCTGAATAAAGGATGTGGAGCAGAGCATCTTAATCTTGTATAAAACTTCATAGAATAGATTTTAGGGAGACTCAAAAAAACGACTGGACTAAATGTGTTATTTAACTTGTTGTTGTATTCAGAATCCTAGAATCAAACAGCAGTTCACCACATTTGGGTTTATGTTTTTTTCTTTTTGTCTGAATGTTGATGTGTGGCTGAGCGGTTAAAACCACTTATATGAATGTGTTTTGTCTGCTATTTGTATATATGTTATATTTAACCTGGAATTTTAGAAATGAGTGACTCACAATTATATTTTCTACAAGTTTCTTAATCAAGTGTAAATGCATCCTAATGTCACAAGTTATACAACCAAATAAAATGTATGATATCATATCCTATAACTGTACTAATTCTCAAACAGTGTAAGGATGTGGCCTTGACTTTACTGCATATTTGATAGGGGAAATTAAAGCTCTCTAGCTGCTCATTCACTGAAGTATATGATGTCCCCACAGCCAAACCCCAGTGGGTCCAGACCATGAAGGACACGGCTCTGGCCATAGAAGAGCGCCTGTACTGGGAGTGTCGCGCCAACGGCAAACCAAAGCCCTCCTACAGCTGGCTCAAGAACGGGCAGCCGCTGGTCTCAGAGGTAAGTCCATATGTGCCCACGAGACTGCCATCATATTCCTTTCAAACTATATGGTTTATGTGAGGTCATACTTCCGCGAGTCTGGACTCTTTGGCCGCGTTTTTACTTGAGCAGGGCAGACCCAGGTAAAATGCAGAAAACCAGGGTCTGGTGAGCAGAGGCAGGAGATGTAAAAGCTGGAGAATAGACAGCGGTATGTAAAAAATCCTTTCAAAGTATAAATACTTTTTTTTTTACTTTGACCGTAGCCATAAATCACCATGGTGTTTTCCATGTAGATAGATAGATACTTGATTTAGATCCCTGTAGGAGAAATCCAGGTGTCCAGCAGCAGAAACATAGCCATCCATACAAACATCAATAGTAACTTACTAACAGTAGTCATATAGTGCACATGTTGAGCGCTCAAAGCCAGAGGAACAAAGAATCTCTGGACAAAAATTAATCAGCAAAGTCTGTTTCATTGAATCAGGCTTTGAATCAGCTTGATTGCAGGCTTTGAGCTCTTGGTTATTTGAACCCAAGCGCGTGCGCACGCACACACACACACACACACACACCCACTGAAGGAATTGGTCCATTTAAGGGGTTATAGCAGTGTGAATGCGTCCCTAACCAAGTTCCATGTGGTTTCTGAACAGCAGTGCTTTTCAGTAGCCATATTGCTCACCTCCATTCATCAAAAGCAATACCATATTTATCTGGCATGAATTGTATAAGGAAGTAAGAGTTTTAGAAACCAAGTTTATGTCATGAAAGTTGTTCTGTTAAATTTGCCTCCCAGCATTTGCTAATTTTACATATAAACAGTGACGTGCGGTCAGATGAGGCAGGTGAGGCCCGGCCTCACAGTGATCATGGAAAGAAAAAAGAAACAATAATACTTGGTCACTATATCAAATTATTTGTGCTATTGTATTATTTCAATGTAACTTTGCCTTATTTCTATTACTTTTAATAATCTTGTTCTTCATCTGCTAAGGGCAGCTACAGGTTTGGCTAACATACATATAACACATTTTAAGATTATTTAAAATGCACTTAGGGTAATGTTTCAATGACGATATGAATAATAAGAAAGAGAGGTGAATGATAAGAAGGTTGATATTAGAAATTGGATGCACCCAAGATTCGGCTGCTGCTAGCGAAACACGAGAGGAGTTCACGGAGGAGACACCCGTTTTGTTTTACTTTTTAAAACTCATTGGACTTACTTCCAAATGGGAGGATTACATATCTACGCTCAAACTATTATCTGGACTTAAACATGAAACTGGTCTGAACTGGTCTGTGCAGTGTTTAAGGTAAGGCCCATAACTCACTTTTAAATGTGCTTTTTCATACTTTTGCGTTTTGTATGAGCAAACAATGCGGGCATGAAACATATTCTGCTGTAGCCAAACAAACTGTGAATAAGCCGCTCTATAGGTCCTGTTGATTAATATGATATATGTTCATCTGATTGGGGTGAAGTCAGTGCCTCACCAATCACCAACCTCACTGCATATAAATCACCCCATCTTGATCACCTCCTGCACATTTCATTTAAAAACCTAATCTTGGATCTTGTATTTTCTGTATTTTGTCAAGCAATAGGCTGAAACACGTAGGAGTTATTCAGACTACAGCGGAGAGTTTTGTGTCACTGATGATTTGCGGATGTTACTGTCGTCTATGGGCGCTACCTTTTGGCAGATTACAGCGTCTTAGAGAGGATCAGTGCGCTCCCTGTGAGATGGGTCCATTTCCTGTGAATAGGGACACTGCTTGTTTTCATTATGCATGATGCATGGTAAAGCTGCTGCAGATTTAGACACACAATAGGCTTAATCTCCAGAGCGCTTTTCAATACAAAAGAACACCTTGGTTCAGACCACCGGAGATGCATGCATTGGCTGCTGCATCATTTTGATAAATTCAAGCTTCATTTTAGGAGGCTTGGGTAATTTGATAAGAATTGAGTAATAAGGCATGTCCATTTTTATATTTCACATTATATTCATATACATATTCTTGTGTCCATAAATGGTGTTAAAAATCTATTCTTTAGTAAAACAGGCATGTCCAAACTAAGGCCTGTGCCCTTTTTGTGGCCCTCTGTGTCATTGTATCTGGGCCTCTGCCTTGCTAAACTAAAATTGTCTGTTTCAACCAGCCAACTTCAGCTCTATAAAGCTCAAAAAACCTATGGAATCCAGCCATTGACTGTGGAATGTGTTATTTATTCCGTCACAATATTCTGTATATGGTGCTAAGGCAGGTAGTGAGATGGCCATTTGTCATTCAGCCAACTTCCGCTCCATTATAGCTAAGTATACATTTCAGAATGGCTCGAATCCAGGCAAAACTGTTTTACATTCCGGGTTGTGCAATCGGGCCACTGGATAAGTCTGGTGAACCAAAGTGGCCCTCTTACTGAAATGTTTGGACACCCCTGCCCTAAAATATACAGTAATGGCATCGTCGACCCTCCATAATCATCTTCAGTTGTATAAGGGCGGTGCAATCAGTAGTATTGAAGCATCGCAGCCATGAATCCTCTGTCTGGTTCTTATGCGAATGCGCTCGGAAGTAATACATCTTTGTGCTATCAATGACGGTATAGCTTTCGTGGCAGCACAGCTATTTGCCGAAGACATAATAATTGAAGCATATCACTGCAAGCTGAACAAGTAATCATTCATCTCTTTCCATTGTCAAGTGAATAAGATTTATATCAGTGGATATTTTGCAATCTTGTGTTATCATCTTTTAATACTGCTGTCTATGACCCACCTGACTTTTCTTTGCTGCAGCGGGAGCCGGAGAATCTTTGGGATGTTTGTTGAAAATCTCATTCAGAAAGTGCTATTCCTCTTCCGTGAGAATGCAAATTATGTTTATGATTGTGTCTGGGTGCCTCTTTCTTGGTTCATTACAGAAACAGAACGTAAATTGAGATTAGCTGATCGAACCATTAGCTTAACAACCGCCTTCTAAAAGGACAGACACAATTACGTTCTGCTGCCACCAGTGTCATTACCAAACACGTTTTACTTGCCGTATGGTATGGGGTCTTTTCCACGTCTCTTTTATGTGTCAGTCGTTCTTTATTTCCCTTTCAGTTAAACAAAACAATACAAGACAGCTGCTTTGTTATTTACTTGTGTTGTGTGTACAAAATGACATTTTACAATATTACATAGTTTTATGCAAATGACAAAGACCAAGTAATTTCATTTTCTACCTCTTTTCTCTTAGGGATTGCTCGAGGGACACACATTGTTTTGCACTTAGACAGCGTCTTGGACCTCATTTCAAGCCACTGCAAACACATGGAGATTGTGACAGACAACATTCCCCCTCCTTTATGAGATGGGCCATTTAGAAGCACAAATGGTTGCTTTTCCCTGAACAAACAAAGATGGGATCCACTGGTCGTCCTGAAATAAGACGATAAGATAATCACGGCTCTTGTCCGGAAATATTGCCAAACAATATGCATCACACTTTATTGTTCGAGTCCCATGTGCGCGTCTATCTTTAAACAAACAACAAAGAATGTGTTTTCAATCCAATCCACTTTAGATTTAGAGATTTTATAAACAGTTTCCAAAGTTTCTTCCAATAAAAAAAGACTGATGTATGTTAACAATAAAACATGCTGTAAAATCATTAAAATCAAATAAATATAACAAGAAGAAAATAACAGCAGAAAATAACAGGCACAGAGGACCACATAACTAAAGCTGTGTTAAAAGCCAGAACATAAAAGCGAGTCTTGAGATCGGGCTCAAAACACTCTACAGAAAGTCTTGTACATGGCCCCATTGTGCAGAGAGAGAAAAAATTATTTGTTCCAATTTACAGCCTCAGTGTCTTGTCTGATCGACGCCCGGTGATAGAGCCTTGAAGCTAACATGCTGCTTGCTGCTACTTTGCCCTGAAGCGTGCTGAGCAAAGCAAGACCCACCTTTTAGACTTCTGCTGTAATTGCTTTTCTTTTATCCTGTTTCTTTTCACTTCACAGGACAGAATCCACGTGGAGGACGGTGTGCTGTCAGTGTCCGTGCTAACATTGGCGGACGCGGGCATGTACCAGTGCGTGGCTGAGAATAAGCATGGGGTCACATACTTTGCAGCCGAACTCATGGTTTTAGGTAAGAATGCCATTTTATCTGAGCATCAAATCCTCCAATCAGAATTTTAAAAGGTCACCTCACTGTCAGTAGAAAAGGTCGCCCGGATTAGCCGGTAATGGGGTCAGGACGGACGGGTTTGAGGGGTCAAATGCATTTAAAAAATATTGTGGGTGTCTTTGATGAGTGGTTGAGAGCTCACTATCCTCTCTGTCGTAAATTATATATGACTTTTGAAATGCTTTTACGACTCCATCTCAATGTTGATTCTAACATGTGTTCAACTCCCTGAACAAATGTGGAATCTGTCTGTTGGCATTACTTCCCAATGTTGTTTTTGCACTGATCAAACTAGTGTTGATCTTTTTTTCTGGTTTGCTGCAGCTCGTTTCTAAAGTGCCTTTAATATTTCCCCTATCAGCCTCCCCTCCAGACTTCACAGGGAACGTCCTCCGAGCCTTGCTCAAAGCCAAGGCAGGAACCACAGTAACACTTGAGTGCAAACCCCAGGCGTATCCTATGGCCAGCATCCTGTGGAAGAAAGGAAACCTGCCCATTCACACCGGGGACAGGTGAAGGCTATCTGCACTTCAGAACCACTTCACGCTTTTATGTGGAATTGGAAAAATATTATAAACACAATGAAATAATACGATAAGTTAGTGATAAAATGTAACTTGAAATGATATTTCAAATCTATGAAATTTCTTTTTAATATAAAGCTTTCTTTTATGCTTGAAATGTTCTTTGATTAATATATTCAGTAAGGTATAAATGATTACGGATATGTTTCTTTGTTCATTCTTGTGAAATTATGACAGGCAGAGGCATATATTATGTACTCAAATCTAAAAAATATATCTTAAATCGGGTGGACAACATATTTTATTGTCTTTAAAGCTAGTGAATTAACGTTTTTGTTTGTTAAATGATGCATGTTGTTTTTCCTAACAGAAGTCTTGTAAAAGTAATTGTTGCGATTTAATCAGACCATGCCATGTTGTCTTTATCTTATACTTATGTTAACTCTTTTTTACTCTTTTCTATATAAAAAGGCTTATCTCAAGCTATAACAGAGGCCAAAAATACATGCATGTGAAAACTAGTGATAGAAGCAAACAGTTAAGAGAGCAAGGAACTATTGTTAAAGTCATTTTTAAAACTTGTTGTTTAAAAATCAAGCACCCCTGCCTTGAATAACAAAACAACAAATTACCCGCAACTGTCGCACGCAACATCACCACAAGATCATTGACAAGTGACGCTCCCCCTAACCGCTGTGCTGTCCGCCTCCGCAGGGTCCGCTTGTCCTCTGACGGCACGTTAAGACTGGCCAACGTGAGCAAGTCGGACGCAGGCAGCTATACGTGCTTCGCCAGAAATAGATTTGGCATGTCGAGTACCACGGGGCGCTTGCTTGTTACCGGTGAGTTTGCTCTATTAAGAAGCCTGGAAAGTGTTGTGCTCGCCACTTAGTAAGCACAATTTATTGCACAGTAAAGATTATCTCAAACAGGGTGCCTCTGACCGCAAAGGACGCAAGTCAATAACCGGTGGGTAGCAGGCATAAACAAAGTGATGCTCTAAGGAGGCTGTCAAAACATCGGAAAAGCTGTCCTCTTAGGCGTTAAACAAAGAACCTCGGGCAAATTAAGTAGCAGCCTTCAAAACCTGTGGGATTAATTTCTGTTTTCTATTTTGAACCGAATGAGGTGCCGTGCTGGGCTTAACTTTGCAAACTCTTAATTTTATCGACTTTCCGGTACAATTACATTTTCGCTGCGGCTGCAATAAAGTGCTTGAGTTGAGCGAAGCACTTGATCACGCTTATCCTCGGCGCACTTGAAACCGCCAATTTACGGCGACAAGTCAAGGCCGTGGCAGTGTAAGCTAGAAGCAGAGGTGTATCAAACATTATCGAAAATGTGCCTCCGCCCTGGCCGTTGAGACTGGAGTGCGAGGAAACTACCCAGCATACATTATTCCTTTAGTAATCAGTAGGTTATTGTTCAAAGCGACTCCGAGAGGTCAGCAAAAATGTGATTATGAGCGTCTTAGGTCCTCACGGTACGCTCTTTCCGTGTCCTTTGCTCATTGATAGTCCATTTAGAATACTTATTTAAGCTTGCGTATCTTGCTTTGTACCTTTCTGTGTGGATTCATTATGCTGACTTTCCAAGCACAGAAGACTTACTCCTTTTTGCAGATTGTAAAGCCTTGAGTTTTTGTCTTGCACGTAGGCCCCATTACATGAAGCTTTATCAGATCCGCAGCGCATTGTAATTGCTATCGGGATTATTCGAGCTGTGTCAGCCTGAAGTATTAGGCCATTTTAGCAGCTGCACATTATCATATTATTTAAGTAAGACTTTTACGAGACAGGGTTTTATATAGAGATACACTGCGGCACCGCCAGTGATTTGCAGTGTTCCCTGGTAGACTTTATTCTGCCGCTGTTCATCATTTTCAGTGGGAGATTGGGAATGGCTTATTTTATGAGTGTAGCATTAGGCCTTGCAGGAGAGAAGACCCTTCTTCACCCATGGTCAGGTCCAGCTTAAATATTAATTGTCAGACCGGTTACTTTACTGCATTGTGACACAGAGGTTCTGAACTTTGTCTCACATACTTTATATAGTATACCTTTTCACTAATATTTAATATATATCCTTATTACTCCTCTGCAAATGCGTACTCCACAGTGTTTTGTCTAAATTGATTTTTAAGTTTATAATTCAAAATAAACCAAGATTGTAAAACACAGAAATGTTTGATTAAAATCTATATTTCCGAACCGCTTTTCCCCTTTTCACTCATTACACCCTATTGAGTGAAATAAAACCCATTTTGTGAAGCACAATTCTTGTAGACCAGACAATGTAATCAAGACAATGTAAGTGAAAGCAATTTGCAGTTTTCCACTGAGAATGACTTCAGATGAAAGTAGAAACCTATTGTAGGCATCTCAACTTGAGCAAAATATTTAATTGCTGTATTTCTTGATTGATTGATTTACTTATTCCAAACCTGCAGAAACAAAACAAATATTTGTCACAGCCACAGATATGAATTTACATGGTTTGAACTGGTCAATATAAATGGGGCGAACAGTAGCTCAGTTGGTAGAGCATTGGCCTTTGGGCCTGAAGGTCGTGGGTTCGAGCCCACCGTAAGACCTACTTCATGACTCCCACTGATGACTGCTGTCGTTGTGTCCTTGGGCAAGACACTTAACCCCACTTTGCCTGAAGCCCCCACTGAAAGATCTCAGCTCCTGTGGACTCACCACCTGCAGGAGGATCAGTGAGGGGCTGGTGCTCTGTGTACTGGGTGCAGCTCTGACTGCCACCCCCCGACCCAGAAATGGATTAAGGGGAAGAAAATGGATGGATGGATGGAATATAAATGTACATAAAATACATGATATTATTTCATATTGTTGACCAAAATTGCGATTTAACATTAACAACACCCACACGTTTCCTTTTCCCCCATTTTTTTCAGTTATAATCGATAGTTCAACTTTTTTGGTTGAAATAAAAGATCCACTGCAAAAATTTGAAATAAGCACATTTTTCTCCCTGTTTCTTCATACTGTAATATTACAACTTGTTCACTTATTTGTTCCCTCGAGATCCGACTCGTATCACGCAGGGTCCCTCAGACGTGGAGATCATCGTGGGCGAGAGCATCGTGCTGCCGTGCCAGGTGTCCAGTGACCCCGTGCTGGACATCTCCTTCTCCTGGGCCTTCAATGGACAACTTATTGCCAAGGACGACGGCCATTTTGAGCTGGTGGGTGGGGTGAGTGACCTCCACAGTTCTTACTATATATCCAACTCAAATGTGCAAATGGACAGTTGCCACCTCTCTGTCCGTTTCATCCTGGCTTGGATTTAAAGAGACAGCTTGCCGCTTGACATCTCGATTAGAGATTTACAGCCAACATTTGGTGTGATACAACCTTTTAAAAGTGCTCCTGTAGGAATAATAGGCTCTGGGGATTCGAGATTCTTTATAAAGAAATATTCTATTAAATCACCCACAAAGCTTGTCTATTGTGCTCTTTTGAGTGAAAACATGGTCTCTGTAAAGTCAAAATACTCTCCAGAGATAAAAGAAACCTGGTGAGCAAAGCTGTAAACTCTTGTCAATCAAGGATAAAATGAGTTTTGTTCTGAATCATAAAAGAAAGGTTGAGATGTTTGAGAGGCACATTATACTACTTAAATAATGATAATAATCAAAGTCTTGCTGTTCCAGATAGTACTTACCAGCAGATAATCCTGTTCCTGAGCTCGACACCCTCTGCTGTACCCATTAGTCTTTTTGACAAGCGCTCATCTCTTTGTGAGTTACTGACACTCGTCCCACTGTCGTAATGCGTTTGACTGGTCCTGAATTATTTTGAAGTCCCACTTTGACACCGTCTGCTGCTCTGAGCTCGTAACAGGATGAGGATGCACATCATTTGGGGTGTCTTTTTATTTTACAGGGAATGAAAGCGTGACAGAGTCTATTCTAGAATGACAGAACACCTCTGCTACACCCTCACACCTCAGAGATTACCTATTCTCCAGCTTTTATGGCCGTCCTCCTCACTGACAAAAGATATAATGGCCGAATACAGCGGCAATAATGGGCTGCGGGGTGGAGACGCCAAACATATGAACTCGAAATTGGTGTGAGAAGCTGTTTTATGTCGACAAAAGGCCTTTACATATTTGAAAAGTTCAGGATGCATAAAGCATGTGTTGCTGCTTTATGAACAGCACTGTGTTGAATTGCTGCAAATACACTCAGTATCAAAGTCTGCTGAGTTAACCCTTTTCTCACCAACCTGAACGCTTAGAAAGTTGTCGATGAGAAGACACCCACTCTTCAAATCTGGTCCACTGTGGTAGGCTGCATATCAGGAGTGGGTCGAGTGCTGACGTCACCCAGAGAGCTTGCTCGAAAAAGCTATTTGATAATTACCAACCGGTCCGTCTCTGTGCACATTACTGGCCAAAGCTGAATTCAGCATCAAAAGACTTCTGATTAGTCCGTTGTCGGGGCTCATGTCGGGATTTACAAATTAAATACCACAATATAATCACAAAGAGGGCACTAAATGTTTATAAGAGGTTTAGAGACCAAAATGATGAGTGTGATACAAACAGTTACTGAGCTAGAGGAGTTTACTTTTTATTTTAAGTCCATAGAGCGAGTTGGGCCAAATCTTTGTCCATGAGCATTTCCCTATTGGGCTTCATTTAGCGAACGGGCTAGCATTATCCATCTATATACAGTCAGTCTATGAGGGTGACCCAGAACAGACCCAGCTGCCAAATATATATGAAATATTCTGCATGTAGTTTCATGCGGCTGTGTTTTGTTTGCGTTATTATAGGTCTCCTTGAAAATTCCTGCCAAAAAACTAATCATTCTAAGGGTGAGAAATGTAGGTTTCATCTTGGCAAGCCTCCTGCACGTCGAGCGAGTCGTTCGACGTATAAAGGAATCTTTGAAGCGATCGAGATGACACAAGTTGCAGGCGAATGAGATGTCAATCACATCTGTCAATCCTCATGTCCTGTGGGGCAGTGTGATAATAATTTGTCAGAAAATCCTCTTTAACAAATATATTTTTGACAGATCCACAGAGAATCAAAAGAATGTGATTTAATATGTGTTTTTACATTTTTCGGGAGGTTTTTTGAAGGTTTTTGTTCCGCACTGTCTGTCAGTGGTCCTGACACGGTGCTCTCTAAATCAGGTCTCGTCCGCCTGAGATCCCACATTGCCTCATTCCTCTGTGTATGGAATTTCCCCAGTCCAAAGAGATTATCAACTTTACTTCTGCTGCTTCAAGGAATTAATTTCCATAATTAAACCATGCTGGCGCTGTCGCCGTCCTTCCCCTGCCAACTCTGAGAACAATTTCACCACTAATTCACTGTTTTGCCGCTTAGGGCTGTCTCCTGTGATGTGACTCTAGATGCAGCCTATGTCCCTCCAATAACGCCGTGTTTGTGTAGTTACTTACACAGCAGATTTGGAGGGCATATTTCATGACCTTTATAGAAAAACCAGTAAAACACTTCAGGGCGCTTTTGACATAAAAATCAATTGATATTTTTTTCCTTGCCTTGATCCTTTTTAATCCTGAACATCTGACAATGAAGTATAAATCATAAAAAAGACTATTTGAGAACGTTCTTATTATTTGTTGTTTTATGTTTTATCATTTAAAGGAGGCATATTTTCCAAAATTAACGTTTTCTCTCTTTTGACACACATCTTTTTTTCTCATCAATCCATCCATGCTAATATCAAAAACTTATATCACAAACATGGAAAACCTCACCCTTCTGTCTAAATGCTCCTTTTCCCAGTTCTGTAATAATATGATGTCATTGTACTGTCATCAAGCTGAGAGCAGTTCTCTGCCTTTTAAATTAGTTGTTGGTAGTTTCTCAAAAAAAACAATATTTAACTGTCAACTGGTGTTAGCGTATAGCGCAAGCTGATGGCATTATTAACCCTTTGATACTTGTTTCACCATATATTTTGAGCTGAATATATGATTTCTCATTCTAAAACAAAGACAAAGTAAAACATCAAAAATGATGCATAATTATGAATCACTTCAACATCCTCTTTACAAGCTCTTAATTACGTTAGAACTGTTCTTTCAGACCAAAGGGTGGGTGTAGGATGAGAAGGGACATGTGTTTTCTTTACACATTCACTTTGTGATTCTTGCATGTTTGATTTTCATGGCCCTGCATACATTCTCTTCCATATCTCACCAAAGACAGCCACTGTTCGGCCATCACATTGTTTATTTCATGCTGATGTTTCGACAGGCGACGCACAGGCATCGTGTGGCAGGAATTATATTAATAAAACAAGTGGTAATACATCTAAGTTCGCTAACATGATCTGCTGCTAGGCTTTTGATGTTTAGGGCAGAGGAACCAAGACACAGAGATTTGGATTGTGAACAGACAGCAGAGCAAAGCATAATGTATCTTCTTTAATTTGTTGTCACTGAGTTTGTTGTACGTCATGCTTCATAACACTTTCCTCATTTGGCAGAGAACGGCAGGAGATCTGATGATAAGGAACATTCAGCTTTACCATGCGGGCAAATATATCTGCGTGGTGGACACTGATGTGGAGAGCCTGTCAGCTGTGGCCGTATTGATCGTGAAAGGTAAGAAAACCCTCCCTTTGCTTAGGCTAATTAAATGCTGGCTGTGCAGTGTTTAAAGGTTCTTCGGTAACACTTTACATTACGGGCCGGTAAGTCCATGGTACTTACAGTGGTACTTCTAGGTACTTACAGTGGTACTTCTAGGTACTTACAGTGGTACTTACGGTGGTACTTACGGTGGTACTTACGGTGGTACTTACGGTGGTACTTACGGTGGTACTTACGGTGGTACTTACGGTGGTACTTACAGGGGTACTTACGGTGGTACTTACGGTGGTACTTACGGTGGTACTTACAGTGGTACTTACAGTGGTACTTACAGTGGTACTTACAGTGGTACTTCTAGGTACTTACAGTGGTACTTCTAGGTACTTACAGTGGTACTTACGGTGGTACTTACGGTGGTACTTACGGTGGTACTTACGGTGGTACTTACGGTGGTACTTACAGGGGTACTTACGGTGGTACTTACGGTGGTACTTACGGTGGTACTTACAGTGGTACTTACAGTGGTACTTACAGTGGTACTTCTAGGTACTTACAGTGGTACTTCTAGGTACTTACAGTGGTACTTACAGTGGTACTTACAGTGGTACTTACAGTGGTACTTCTAGGTACTTACGGTGGTACTTACAGTGGTACTTACAGTGGTACTTACAGTGGTACTTCTAGGTACTTCTAGGTACTTACAGTGGTACTTCTAGTGGTACTTCTAGGTACTTATTGTGGTACTTACAGTGGTACTTCTAGGTACTTATTGTGATAATTCTAGATACAGCTGTAACTTAGTAATTCAAGGACACTACAGTATTATTCCTATGTAGTAAATGTGGTACTTCTACATACATACATACAGAGGTCATTTGTAGGATTGTTTGACTATAAAACATAAAACAACATTATGTAAAACAAACGTCTTTATTAATATGGAATAAGTAGCACAGAAAGGACAGTATAAATACATTTAATACATATTTCAAAACAAGTTTCAAGGACAAGGGAAACACTGCAAGAACTAGGTACCCAACCCAAGTAACAAGAATTACACATTACCAGGTACTTACCAGCGGTGGTACTTACGGTGGTACTTACAGGGGTACTTACGGTGGTACTTACGGTGGTACTTACGGTGGTACTTACAGTGGTACTTACAGTGGTACTTACAGTGGTACTTACAGTGGTACTTCTAGGTACTTACAGTGGTACTTCTAGGTACTTACAGTGGTACTTACGGTGGCTTACGGTGGTACTTACGGTGGTACTTACGGTGGTACTTACAGGGGTACTTACGGTGGTACTTACGGTGGTACTTACGGTGGTACTTACAGTGGTACTTACAGTGGTACTTACAGTGGTACTTACAGTGGTACTTCTAGGTACTTACAGTGGTACTTCTAGGTACTTACAGTGGTACTTACAGTGGTACTTACAGTGGTACTTACAGTGGTACTTCTAGGTACTTACGGTGGTACTTACAGTGGTACTTACAGTGGTACTTACAGTGGTACTTCTAGGTACTTCTAGGTACTTACAGTGGTACTTCTAGTGGTACTTCTAGGTACTTATTGTGGTACTTACAGTGGTACTTCTAGGTACTTATTGTGATAATTCTAGATACAGCTGTAACTTAGTAATTCAAGGACACTACAGTATTATTCCTATGTAGTAAATGTGGTACTTCTACATACATACATACAGAGGTCATTTGTAGGATTGTTTGACTATAAAACATAAAACAACATTATGTAAAACAAACGTCTTTATTAATATGGAATAAGTAGCACAGAAAGGACAGTATAAATACATTTAATACATATTTCAAAACAAGTTTCAAGGACAAGGGAAACACTGCAAGAACTAGGTACCCAACCCAAGTAACAAGAATTACACATTACCAGGTACTTACCAGCCAAGTACCAGGTACTTACCAGCAAGTACCAGGTACTTACCAGCAAGTACCAGGTACTTACCAGCAAGTACCAGGTACTTACCAGCAAGTACCAAGTACTTACCAGCAAGTACCAGGTACTTACCAGCAAGTACCAGGTACTTAACAGCAAGTACCAGGTACTTACCAGCAAGTACCAGGTACTTGCTGGTAAGTACATGGTATACTATATAATTACTGGTATCACTAGTACTTATGGGTAAGTCCTTTGTCTTATTATGGGCCAGTTCCTATGGTAAGTACCTGGTACTTACTATATAATTACTGGTGTTATCACTGGTACTTATGTTAAAGTCCTTTGTCTTATTATGGGCCAGTCCCTATGGTAAGTACCTGGTACTTACTGTATAATTACTGGTGTTATCACTGGTACTTATGTTAAAGTCCTTTGTCTTATTATGGGCCAGTCCCTATGGTAAGTACCTGGTACTTGCTGGTAAGTACATGGTACTTGCTGGTAAGTACATGGTATACTATATAATTACTGGTATCACTAGTACTTATGGGTAAGTCCTTTGTCTTATTATGGGCCAGTTCCTATGGTAAGTACCTGGTACTTACTATATAATTACTGGTGTTATCACTGGTACTTATGTTAAAGTCCTTTGTCTTATTATGGGCCAGTCCCTATGGTAAGTACCTGGTACTTGCTGTTAAGTACCTGGTACTTGCTGTTAAGTACCTGGTACTTGCTGGTAAGTACCTGGTACTTGCTGGTAAGTACCTGGTACTTGGCTGGTAAGTACCTGGTAATGTGTAATTCTTGTTACTTGGGTTGGGTACCTAGTTCTTGCAGTGTTTCCCTTGTCCTTGAAACTTGTTTTGAAATATGCATTAAATGTATTTATACTGTCCTTTCTGTGCTACTTATTCCATATTAATAAAGACGTTTGTTTTACATAATGTTGTTTTATGTTTTATAGTCAAACAATCCTACAAATGACCTCTGTATGTATGTATGTAGAAGTACCACATTTACTACATAGGAATAATACTGTAGTGTCCTTGAATTACTAAGTTACAGCTGTATCTAGAATTATCACAATAAGTACCTAGAAGTACCACTGTAAGTACCCACAATAAGTACCTCTAAGTACCACTGTAAGTACCTAGAAGTACCACTGTAAGTACCACAATAAGTACCTAGAAGTACCACTAGAAGTACCACTGTAAGTACCTAGAAGTACCTAGAAGTACCACTGTAAGTACCACTGTAAGTACCACTGTAAGTACCACCGTAAGTACCACCGTAAGTACCACCGTAAGTACCCCTGTAAGTACCACCGTAAGTACCACCGTAAGTACCACCGTAAGTACCACCGTAAGTACCACCGTAAGTACCACTGTAAGTACCCCTGTAAGTACCACCGTAAGTACCACCGTAAGTACCACCGTAAGTACCACCGTAAGTACCACCGTAAGTACCACTGTAAGTACCACTGTAAGTACCACTGTAAGTACCACTGTAAGTACCACTGTAAGTACCACCGTAAGTACCTAGAAGTACCACTGTAAGTACCACTGTAAGTACCACTGTAAGTACCACTGTAAGTACCACTGTAAGTACCTAGAAGTACCACTGTAAGTACCTAGAAGTACCACTGTAAGTACCACTGTAAGTACCACTGTAAGTACCACTGTAAGTACCACCGTAAGTACCACCGTAAGTACCAACGTAAGTACCCCTGTAAGTACCACCGTAAGTACCACCGTAAGTACCACCGTAAGTACCACCATAAGTACCACTGTAAGTACCTAGAAGTACCACTGTAAGTACCTAGAAGTACCACTGTAAGTACCACTGTAAGTACCACTGTAAGTACCACCGTAAGTACCACCGTAAGTACCACCGTAAGTACCCCTGTAAGTACCACCGTAAGTACCACCGTAAGTACCACCGTAAGTACCACCGTAAGTACCACCGTAAGTACCACCGTAAGTACCACTGTAAGTACCTAGAAGTACCACTGTAAGTACCTAGAAGTACCACTGTAAGTACCACTGTAAGTACCACTGTAAGTACCACCGTAAGTACCACCGTAAGTACCACCGTAAGTACCCCTGTAAGTACCACCGTAAGTACCACCGTAAGTACCACCGTAAGTACCACCGTAAGTACCACCGTAAGTACCACCGTAAGTACCACCGTAAGTACCACTGTAAGTACCTAGAAGTACCACTGTAAGTACCATGGACTTACCGGCCCGTAATGTAAAGTGTTACCGTTAATTTTAGGGGAACCAAAAGAGGTATTTGGGTTTGTTTAATATCCACAACTAGCAAACGACTTGTCACTAAGACTAATGGTGCTTTCAGACCGGATTATGCGTTGTGTTGGCTTTCAATGCAAAGTCAATAGTGACGCGCGTTCGAGCGTCAAAACGCACAAACGTCTCGGGACGCACAAACGGACTGCTCAGTAGAGACGCACGGACTGCGCAGGAAAGTCGAAGGGGAGGAGCAGGAGCGGAAAATCGACGCCCACAGGAGATAAACTTTGCTCAACCTTTCCTCGGGACATTCGTGCAGTGACCAATCAGAGAGCCGCAAAGTGGTCACAGGGACATTAGTGTCCGAGCGAGCAGACTGAACATACTGTAAAAGGCAAAACAGGAGCCACACCACGACTTAAAACCAGGGTTGACAATCAGGGACATGGTGCTTGTTAACATGTGAGTTTTCATGCTCCCGTGACCTTATGCAACTGCTTCGAGTGGGTTCGCCGATGCAGAAGTACCGTTTAATAATAAAATAAACTTATTGCGCACCTCCGTGAACACACACTGCTGTTATATAAAGTCTGTGAAGGTCTCTGAACACAGAGAACCTTCAGAGCTGCATTGTTGGAGAAGATCTTTACACAAGAAGCCGCTAGCATAACTCTGTTAGCATCAGAGCCTGCCGGTGACTTCCGCCACGTCCGGCGCTGGCCAGGACGTTCTGGTGTGAAGTCCCGTGCGTCTGAAAACTAGAGAATGTGTGTCTGGTAAGCGAGGCTTCAGCGTTTGAGCGTTTGCGGTCTGAGAGCACCATAAGCATGTTCATACAGAAAACTACAATGTTGTTCAAAAGTTCATTTATTTGTGTATAATTTACAAGAATATAACA